CAGGAGTTCAAGACCAGCCTGGCCAATATGACAAAACCCCATCTCTACTAAAAATACAAAAATTAGCTGGGCATGGTGGCGCATGCCTGTAATCCCAGCTACTCAGAGAGCTGAGGCATGAGACTAGCTTGAATCCGGGAGGCAGAGGTTTCAGGGAGCTGAGACTGTGCCACTGAACTCCAGTCTGGGCGACAGAGCGAGACTCTGTCTCAAAAAAGAAAAAGAAAAGAGAAAAAATGAAAAAAAAAAAAAAAACTGAAACAGATACCAAACAATTATCATATGGTCTCCAATATAAGAAGGTATTTAAAGAAGGGGCGTTGGGTCAAAAACAAGGACTAACCCAAGTGTGCTGCTTTAAAAATAAAATTTATAGGAAAAGTAGTTGCTTGGCCTAGTTTTAAATCTAATTACAAAATCCATCTTTTTTTTGTTTTTTGAAAAGCATAACAAATTTATTTAATCCAAGTTTTATGTGACACAGGAGTCTTCCAAATGAAGATGCAAAGATACAGGGAAAACTATCCATTTTTACACTTGGGTTTGTTGAAGAATGAAAAGCCTCTGTAGAACCATTATTCCTTCAAGAGGGTATACAACTTAATGAGAATAGACTGAGTGGGGAAACCCAGCAAGGCCTGTCTGTCCAGATTCTTCTTAACCTCTTTGTGCAGCATTCCTTCTTCCCAGGTATGCGAATGGCAGTCTTATGACCTACTATCAAACAAAGTAGATCAGAGAATTTCTTTATAGCCAGGTCTACATAGAAAAGAAGGTTAGAGTAATGTTTTGGGTTTTTTGGTTGGCTTTGAGGAAGAAAGGTTCTAGTATCTGTAACCTGCCTTGAGAAAGAGGAATTATAGTTTCTATGGCTTGCTTAGGGGAAGAATGAGGGGCAAGACACAGAGGGCAGGAGAAGGTCGAGGAGAAGCTTTGCTTCTGAGGCCTTTATTTGGGGTTATCATTTTCTAAGCCCCAACAACCGTATCTGCGAAATGGAAGTGAAGATACCTACTTTACAGGGTTGCTAAGATGACGAAATGAAAGAAATAAAGCTCAAGTGCAATTTCTGATCAATAATAGCTAGCAGATTTTTAAATGAGGTATCAACTGTCCCATAAACATTTATGGTATGTATCCTCCTACCTTTAATATCCATGGTGGGGGATAGGAGAGCAGGACAGGAAAAAGCTACAATTCTCCCTTAACTACAAGCCAGATTAGCACTGTTTCTGCTGACTCTACTTTCATGATCCACTTTCTTACACTGGTGATACGCAAACCCTAAAGCTCTATTGTTGATAGTCACTTTTTGATCCATTTACTATGATTGGGCTTCTGTCCCATCACACTGCTAAAAGCGTATTTTTTTGGATATAACTTATGTTTTGCTAACTACCAAATTGGTTCCCTTTTTTTCCTATCATGAATATATTTAATATAGGTAAACTTTTTAAAACTTTTAGGTTCAGGGGTACAAGTGCAGATTTGTTATATAGGTAAATTGTATGTCACAGGAGTTTGCTATATAGATTATTTCGCCACCCAGGTAATAAGCATAGTACCCAATAGGTAGTTTTTCAATCCTCCCCAACCTCCCTCCCTCCACTGTCAAATAGGCCCTAGTGTCGGTCGTTCCCTGCTTTGTCTCCATGTATGCTCTGTATTTAGCTCCCATTTATAAATGAGAGAACATGTGGTATTTGGTTTTCTGCTCCTGTGTTTGTTCACTTAGGATTACGGCCTCCAGCTCCATCCATGTTGCTGCAAAGGACATGTTCTCGTTCTTTTCTATGGCTGTGTAGTATTCCATGGTGTATATGTACCACATTTTCTTCATTCAGTCTACCACTGATGGGCATCAATCATGGTTGATTCCAAGTCTTTGCTACTGGGAATAGTGCTGCAATGAACATACAAAATCTAATTTCTAAATAGTCCAGATATTTTGGTAGTTATTCCAGCTCAAGAGAACTTCCACTGACGTCCACATTCATTACAGACAACAAATGTTATCAGTCCATCAGCACTATATCTGTATACGTGAACAAGCCACTCTGGGTTCCACTTGCCTTGGCCACCTAATGCTCTCTGATGGCTTCTTTGGTCAAGTTTTTCCATATCTCTCTGAGCCCATCACTGGCCATTTCCTGTGCCATCATTCTAGCAAATAAGACATTAGGAATATTCTCACATGGTACATTTTCCCTTAAATTTGGATTCTTTGCTCTTTAAGATTTGATATCCTACTTCATACTCCACCTTTGCATTTTGTATCTATATTCCTTAATTTCTTGATATGCAGTCTCCTCAACTTGAGATCCTAATTCTTCCTCACCAGTTCCAATAGCAGTGTAGCCATCTCCTGTTCGGAGAGCTGCAGCAAGCACCTCCCAACACTTTAACCAAGCAGAGTCAGAAGTGCTTCATTCCTGAATAAAGGATGAAACACGAGTATCTAGAGCATTTGTCTCACCCTTTCTGCTGCTTGCATTGCCACCGGAGCTAGTTTCTTCTCTCGCTTCAGGGCTATTCTGCAATGTTACTACAGGTTCTTTTTTCTTTTCTTCAGGGTCTTTCTTGGTTGATAGTAACTTTTTCCCAGATTTCACGACAGACTGTTGAAGATATAACTTCTTCATCTTTATGCTGTTTGCCATTAGCATTAACTGATACTCTGATTCTTCTCTGGGCTGTAATAATTCCAAGGTCATGGGAATATTTTTAAGCTCCTTTGGCAAATCCAATGCATCAGCTGTATTCTTCTGCACCATCTTGTCCATTTAGTTGGCCATGGGAACGACCTTGTCTTCTGTGGCTCTGGCAGGTCTTCCCCACACCCAGCCAGATGGAGGTGAGAAGTGCGTAAACCCAAGGTGGAAAGGATGGCAAGAAACAAGCCTCCGTAGTCCTGACAGACTGGACCAGGCCCTTTCTCACAAACCAAGCCCATGGGGCAACCTGATTTACATGTTTAAAAGATCACTCTGACTATTGTGTGAAGAAAGGACAGATAGGGAGAAACCAGTTAAGGAGGCTGCTACAGCAGTCTAGCCCAGAAAATCACAGCCTACCCTAGAGCTGAGCTGTAGCAGCTGAGATGGCAACAAGCAATCCTACTTTGAATGCACTTTGGAATAGAACAAACAACTTATTAATGGGCTGCCTGTTGCTTTGGGACAGTGTTACTCACTGAGATAAAGAAGGTTAGGTGAAAAAGCAGGTTTGGGGAAGAAAATCAGGAATTCTCTTTTGGACTTGTTAAACCAAGTAGAATGCCTTTTTGTGTAACAGTTTTCACTCTTAAAATCAGTAATATTTCACATTCTCTCAATAAATAATCAAAATCAATCAATATGTGTGCAGAATCCAAAATGAAATACAAGCACTAATAAATAAGCATAGCTGTATTACAAATGAATGAGGAAACCACACTAAAGGGGCTGAGGAAGAAAATACAGTAGCTAACCTAGCTTTGGAGAACAGTGTTTTGACTAGATACGGTAAGGCTAAAAACAAAAAGAACTATAGGTAAGTACTGTACTCTAGTCAGTAAATATCTTTCTCACAGGGGTATGGGTTAAGAATCCTGCGACTATTTTATGGGTACACTAGGACTGAACAAGTAAATGAGTTTATTGAAACTAATGCGAGCCAGGTTTCTCACTGTTAGAGAAAGCAGTTACAAAAAAGGAAAAAGGGAAACAAGAATGAAACTTACAGAGTTGGAATGGTGTCAGAGATATCAGTATGAACTCATGGTTTTCCACATACAAATAAAGGCAAAAAAAAACACAGAATTATAGGGCTGTGTGTGTGTGTATGGGTTAGGATTCATACAGGTATTTCTGGCTCTATTGGCTGAGAGGACCTAGACGCAAGGACACCCTGGAATCAACCACTTCTCTCACAGAAACCTAGGGCCCAAGACCTAGGGCTCTTTGGAGAAGTGGTTCATTCCAGATAAGCCTGGAACATCTTGTGAGGCCAGAAAATAAATTGCCCAAAAGATGGTGAAGGCATATCAAAGTCACACAAGAGCTGACCTAAACGGGCTTTCAATAACCAAAGCTGAACAATTTGAGCAACAAAATAATTATAGTATTGAATTATAACCTATAGAATAAACATCCATGAGTCCATACTATTAAATGATTGAATAAAGAACTAATGAGAAAGACGGAACAGCTCGTTCACACAGAATAATTTCAACCAATAAGTTAGGTGAAGGAAGTATAAAGTCACTATAGAATAAATACCAATACAATAACTATTACAGGCAAGATGAACCAGTAGATGCTAAAATCATTGGGTGCAAGTTTGAGGAGACATAGTAGCATAGTCACAAAGTATCTAACCCAAAATATTCATGAATTTTTTTAAAAAAACAGTCAATTTTGAAGGTGGAAACCTGGCAGACACCACCTTAACAAAATGATCAAGGTTAACATGACCAGTAATAAATGATCTCAACATCATGCCACCCCCTTATGATATATTGAGAAGGACACAATCAGAAATATCACTTCAGTGATTTAAAAAATGGATAACGTCAACCTAATCATGAAAAAAAAAATTAGACAAACCCATATTAAAAGACATCCTAAAGACAATTAGCCAGTACTCATCAAAAGTGTCAAGGTCATGAAAGCCAGGAAAGTAGGAATTGTCACAGATTGAGGGAGACTAAGAAGAGAACAAATAAATGAAATGTGAGATTGGATTCTGGAGTAGAAAAAGAACAATACAGGAAAAATTGGTGAAATTCAAATAAGGTCTATAGTTTAGTTATCTACAGTTAGTATTATGGAAGGTCTTTGTTCTTTTTCATACTTAATTTTTTATATTTTCTTAATTGAAAACATTACTTTTACACTAGGAAAAATAAATTTACTTATCACCTTTTCCTTTCTAACATGTTCATTTATTCAAAATTACATCATACAGAGTAATATAAAAGGGTATATAAATAGCAACTTTGCTTATTGGCTCAATTTGCCTCCCATATATACCTACCACAGCTCTTGCTGTAAGCATTCTCCATAGCATGACAACATTCACTGTATGAAAAAGGTAAGGGCATCATGATCACTATGTGAAAAGGGCTCAGTGGCCAAGGGCTCTGTTAGTCAGGGACTCTGCATTAGGGAAACAGGATTGTGGGTGACTTTCCCTCCTAAATTTTCAAATCAGGCTTTAACAATACAAATATATTTTTAAAGTGAGGTACAGCATACATCCACCCTATGACCTAACAATTCCATTTCCAAATATTTATTCTTTTTTTTTCTTCTTCTTCTTCTTTTTTGAGACAGAGTCTCACTCCGTTGCCCAGGCTGGAGTACAGTGGCGCAACCATAGCTCACTGCAGCCTCAACCTCCTGGGCTCAAGTGATCCTTCCACCTCAACCTCGAAGTAGCAGGTGTGTACCACCACCCCCGGCTAATTTTTTGTATTTTTTGTAGAGACAGGTTTTGCCATGTTGCCCAGGCTGGGATCCCTAAATATTCACTCAAGGGGAAAAAATAAAATAAAGCACATATGTCCATGATACACATAATAACACACATGAATCTCAAAATTATGCTGACCCAAAAAAGCCAGACCAAAAAAGAGTATGCAATGTATGATTCCATTTATACGTGGTAGCTCTAGAAGAGACAAAAACTATCTATGCTGAAGGAAATAAAAGCAATGCTTGAGGGAGGATTGACTAGAAAGGGGTACAAGGGAACTTTCTGGGATGAAAAGATAGACATCTTCTGTATCTTAATCAGAATGATAGTGGCAAGATTGTACGCACTTATGAAAACTGATCAAACTATGCATCTTATTATGCACTTTATTGTATGTAAGTTATGCCTCAATTTAAAAGAATCAGTACTGACTAGGGAAAAATCTGGCACAAAGATTTCATTTGGTTAAAGTGGCCAGTAACCTAAGTCGTAATTATTCACCTAAATAAAATGTGAGTGTTGGTAGTTAAAAAAAATAAATAAATAATCAGAGAAAATCCTGTCACATGCTACAACATGGATGAGCCTTGAAGACATTATGCTAACTAAAATAAGCCAGTCACAAAAGGACAAGTATGTCCCTGTATGTAGGTACCAATATGAGGTACCTAGAGTAGTCAAATTCACAGGGAAGGAAAGTACAATGGTGGTTGCCACGAGTGGGAGGAGGAAATGGAGAGTTATTATTTAAGGTACAGAGTTTCAGTTTGGGAAGAGAAAACAGTTCTGGAGACGGATGGTAATAATAGCTGCATAGCAATATGAATATAGTAATGCCAATGAATTGTACACTTAAAGATGACTAAAATGTAAATTTTGTTATGTATATTCTATCACAGTTTTTAAAAAAACAAAATAAAAACTCTAAAATCTAGACTCATCATCTTATTGCTTAAATCAAAGGAATCATGGTGATCCACCTTGCTTGTATCCTTTGAAAGAAATCAATCATTCTTTTCTGAATCCTTCTGGGCATAAGCCATAGGAAAACAGATTCTACACTTTTCTCTCATTTTATTTTCAAATCCTGCATCTACTAAGCTGTCATTACAGAAGTCTATGATGTTTGTTTCCTTCAGAGTAATGGTCCTTAATCATTCTGTGGTTACAGATGCTTTTGAAGAATCTGATAAAAGCCACTGACCACAATTCTTCATCTGAGGATAACGAAGCTGCTTCATCTAGTTCATATATTAGGCTCTCGAAGGTTTATATTTTGAGAGGAACAAGGAACCAAATGTAACTGAATTATAGGCAGAAGTGGGAACTCAAAGCTTGCATGCAAGTCAGGCAGAGAGATGGAGGCTTCAGCCCACCTGCTTTGGAAAAACTCCATCCCACTTCCCTGGGCCTCAGTGCAATCAGTGCCTTCAGCAAGCCCAGGCTTAATCTATCTGCCCACCTGGACAGAACCAGGAGCCAGCAGCACTACCCACATGGCTTACCTCATACTCGGAATGGCGTGGTAGCCCAATCGGAAGCGGAGTTTGCTGGACCCAGCAAAATCTACAATCACCTTTTCCCCCACAGTGTGCATATGCTTGAGGAGTTCAAGGTGCTCCCTGGTCACAGCCTTCAGACTGGAAATGGCGGTCCATGGTAAGACCAGCCAATGGTAACGGGCCTTCGGGTATTTATCCTTTATTACCACCACCTGCTCATCTTTGTAAACCTAGCAGAGGGACACAAGAGAAGGAAGCAGACATCCACTAAGAATCTTCTGTGTGCCTGGTTGTTATATTCTCTAAGTCACTTAATTCTCACAGTCTTGTGCAAATAGTTTTAGTAGCCCAGTTTTGAGAGATGAGAGCACTGAGATTCAGATAGGTTGAGTGTCTTGCACAAGTCATACTTCCTAAGAGGGAAATCTAGGATTTCAACTCAGATCTAGCTGACTCCAGAGTCTGTTTTCAACCACCACACTACACAGAATACACAGAAGATGCATAGTACAAAATAGTTCCCAAGGATCTGATGTAAAATCTCTGTAGGCATAAATTCAAAAGCATCCTTCTCCACTCCAACATGGCAGACTGTGTGACACATACACATGGGTTCCAGTGAGCCCTATTAGACCTGCCCCTTGTCAACCAGGAATGTAATTGAAGTGTAACTCAAAGGCTCCTCAAGGATGATGCCTGTTTTTTTTTGTTTTTTTTTTTTTTTGAGATGGAGTTTCGCTCTTGTTGCCCAGGCTGGAGTGCAATGGCGTGATCTCAGCTCACCACAATCTCCACCTCCAGATTCAAGCGATTCTCCTGCCTCAGCCTCTCGAGTAGCTGGGATTACAGGCATGCGCCACCACGCCCAGCTAATTTTTTATATTGTTAGTAGAGACGGAGTTTCTCCATGTTGGTCAGGCTGATCTCAAACTCCTGACCTCAGGTGATCCTCCCACCTCGGCCTCCCAAAGTGCTGGGATTACAGGGATGTCTGACTGTTAATGCCAGGGCAGCACAGTACTACTGTCACAGTATATTATCTCTGATGCTCCCCTGAAAGGAACCATACTAAGGTTAATGCAACTTCCCTTAAAGTACCCAGAAGTTTAAAAGGGACAAGGTAGAGGGGATATTCATTTGAAGAACTTAGCTTTCTCTCCAAACAATTCCAGTTGCTACTCTATTGCCAATGGGAAAAACCTCTTGTTCTCACAGAAAAGCCCAATAAAATGAATCTCATTCGGAAAGACTGACATCCTTTGATTTCATTTGTAATTAAGACCTCTGTGGAGTAGTCATTTACAACATGAAAGGTACTGAAATTCCACAATTGTATTCTGACCTGCATTTTGGGGTCCTGCATAGAAATCTTTAAGCCTTGACTCCAGTGGCCCAGTGATTCCTAAAAAAAAAAAA